CGAATTTCCCCCAAATTCGGGGCTCTCACCTTGCTGCAGGTGCAGCTGCTCGGGGGGGGGGCCCAGGGCCGCCGCGGCCGCCGCCCGAGCCTCGGCCTCGCTGCGCCCCACGAACCACGGCCCCTCCTGGGCTCCCTGGTGGCCACCTGGAGCTCCTTGGTGGCCACCTGGGGCTCCTCTGTGGTCACCTGGGGCTCCTCGGTGGCCACCTGGGGCTCCCTGGTGGTCACCTGGGGCTCCTCTGTGGTCACCTAGAGCTCCTCTGTGGTCACCTGGGGCTCCCTGGTGGCCACCTGGGGCTCCTCCGTGGCCACCTGGAGCTCCTCTGTGGCCACCTGGGGCTCCTCCATGGCCACCTGGAGCTCCTTGGTGGCCGCCCATCACCTGGTACGCGGGCACCTGGTGGCCCCACCAGAGCTGGCGGGACAGGCACCAATCCCTGCGGGGGATTTGGGGATTTAGGGAGGCTCGGGACAGGCCCGGAGCCACGCCCAGAGCACCTGGGACACGCCCACCACACCTGGGACACGCCCACCACACCTGGGACATGCCCAGAGCCATGCCCACCACACCTGGGACATGCCCGGAGCACCTGGGACATGCCCAGAGCACCTGGGACATGCCCACCACACCTGGGACACGCCCAGAGCCACGCCCACCACACCTGGGACACGCCCACCACACCTGGGACACGCCCAGAGCCATGCCCACCACACCTGGGACATGCCCGGAGCACCTGAGACCCTGCCCACCACACCTGGGACACGCCCACCACACCTGGGACATGCCCAGAGCACCTGGGACACGCCCAGAGCACCTGAGACCCTGCCCACCACACCTGGGACATGCCCAGAGCCCCACCCACAACAGCTGGGATACGCCCACCACACCTGAGACCCCACCCACAACACCTGGGACACGCCCACCACACCTGGGACACGCCCAGAGCACCTGGGACACGCCCAGAGCCCCACCCACCACACCTGAGACTGTGCCCACAACACCTGGGACCCCGCCCACCACACCTGGGACACGCCCACCCCACCTGGGACACGCCCAGAGCCCCTGGGACACACAGAGAGCCTCACCCAGAACACCTGAGACTGCACCCACCACACCTGGGACATGCCCGGAGCCCCTGGGACACACCCAGAGCACCACCCACCACACCTGAGACCCCGCCCACCACACCTGGGCCCCGCCCCGGCCTCACCCCGCGTTCTCCATCCAGGTTTTCCAGTTCTTCTCGTGGAATTTGGGCACCAGGCGGAGCCTCCCCGACGTCACCGCCTGCCACAGGTGAGCCCTCAGGTGGGACACGCCCCCCCAGGGTCCCCAGCACCCCCACAAAGGGTCACCTGCTGGCTGCCCAGGTGAGCCCTCAGGTGCGTGTGAGCCCACCCGAGTGTGCCCAGGTGTATCCCAGGTGTGCCCAGGTGTATCCCAGCTGTGCCCAGGTGTATCCCAGGTGTATCCCAGCTGTGCCCAGGTGCCCCCAGGTGTATCCCAGGTGTGCCCAGGTGGATCCCAGCTGCCCCCAGGTGTATCCCAGGTGCCCCCAGGTGTATCCCAGGTGTGCCCAGGTGGATCCCAGCTGTGCCCAGGTGGTTCCCAGGTGTGCCCAGGTGTGTCCCCTCACCTGCAGTGCTGCCCGGGCCATGTCCCCGCAGCTGAGGAACCACTGCCGCTTCAGCAGGAACTCCACCACGTCCCCGGAGCGGCTGCGGGGACACCAGGGGACACCTGGGACACCTGGGGACACCTGGGACACCTGAGGGGACACCTGGGGACACCCGAGGGGACCCAGGGGACCCCAGGGGACACTGGGGACACCTGGGGGCACCTGGGGGGACAATGGGGACACCTGGGAGACCTGAGGAGGGGACCCAGGGGACTCCGGGGACCCAGGGGACTCCGGGGACACCAGGGGACACCTGAGGGGACACTGGGGACACCTGGGGGCACCTGGGGGCACAATGGGGACCCAGGGAACACCTGAGGAGACACTGGGGACACCTGAGGGGACACTGGGGACATCTGGGGACACCCGAGGGGACCCAGGGAACACCTGGGGGGACACCTGGGGGCACCTGAGGGGACTCGGGGACACCTGAGGGGACACTGGGGACACTAGGGGACACTTGAGGGACCCCAGGGGACACCCGAGAGGACTTTGGGGACACCTGGGGACACCTGGGGACACCTGGGGACGCACCTGCAGAGCGGCAGCGTCATGGCGTGGTCCTGCACCCCCCGGAGCAGCCCCCGCTGGGCCAGCGCGGCCACCACGCGGGCACGGGCCTCGAAACGGGGCACGCCCTGGGGACACGGGGACACGGGGGGACATTGGGGGGACATTGGGGA